CTCGGGTTCTTCTTGACTCGGTCTCCTCCCTCTCCTCTGTCAGTCGGCCTCGAGGTTCACGGATTGGTCTTAGGGCCTTTCCTGAGCTTTCCTCCTTCGGTCACGCATTTCTGTTCTGGTCTTTTGTAACTTCCCATCTTCTGCTTACCCCGGGTTCTATTTGTTCTGGTTTTAATAAGGTGGGAGCCGAGGTCACTGAAGCTTTTTTAAAAAACAGGCGCGTCCAGAAAGCTATCGTCACTGAGTTAGTTCCACTCACGGCCACCCTCTGGGCAGTAGAACTGCTCCGTACGGAGTGACAGCCTCATCTTGGTCCTGAGAACTGGCTGGTGGATTCGACTTGCTGATCTTCCCGTGTAAACCATGAGGCCACTAGGCCACCTGGATGTCTCTTCCTCCGTACCAGTCCTGACTTAGCAGGCGTTGCATAACTTGAAATACATTGCAGTTTTCCTTGCATTCCGCTTCACATATGTCCCGAATGCCTTTTGGATTTCTCCTGTGATCCGTGGGTTTTCCTAGAGATCTTCCTGTGACGGGGCTCCCCTTTTAGCTTTAGCGTCGCGTGGTGAGGGCGCATACCGTGTGTGGATTGAATGCCTTCACACGTATGGAGACTCGTTTTGTGGCCCAGAATAGGGACTCTCTGGTACCCGCTCCGTCTGGTAGGACGAGAGCATGTTCCGTTACTGGGCAGTCTTGTGCAAAGATAATCAGGCTTTGTGGGTTGATAGGTTGTTCAGATCATCTGACTTTCGGTCCACTTGTTCTAGAAGAAACAAACAAAACCCCAAATTTACTACCATGGAGTTGATGCCGACTCAGTAGTGCTTGAGGGCAGGTTAGAACTGCCCCAGGAAGTTTCTGAGACCAGAACGCAAGAGCCCTATCTTTCTCCCTGGGAGTGGCTCCTGGTTCTGAACCTCTGCCCTTGCATTGAGCAGCCCAGCACGTAAGCACTCCACCACCAGGGTTCCTAGAAGACAGGTGTGTCCCAATGGCCCAAGAGGGCAGCCCGGGAGCTTAGCCTGGGAGAAGACGCAGTGTGCCCACAGACTCCGTGGGCTTCCTGGAGGGGGGCGTGGACCTGCCCTCAGCCCCTTCTGGGTTCTGCCTCCCTGAGAGTCTGAGGTGCGTCCTGGCCCTGCAGTGGGCCTGCAGGTGGGAGCTGGCTGCCGGCAGGCCACCTCTCCCAGGCTTGCTGGCTTGGGTGCCACGATGTGGCTTCCGCCCCAGAGCAACCCCAGGTGACAACTGCCCAGAGGGTCACCTGGGCCTGGATCTCAGGTCCTCTCGTGCAGCCCCGGGGTGGCGGTGTGTGAATGCCCACCCCGTGGTGAGCGTCCGTCCCGTCCCCCGCCCCGCCGCAGGTGGAGAACGCCACGCTGGGCTCGCAGAGCGCCGCGCTGGCTGCGCAGTGCACGCTGCTGCAGCAGCAGCACGCGGCCACCGAGGCGGAGCTGGAGAGCCTGCAGAAGCAGCAGGAGCAGCGGGCGGCGGCCCACGAGGCCCTGCTGCAGGACCACGAGCGCCTGGGCGCCCTGCACGAGCACCAGGCCGCCGAGTTCGAGGCCCTCATCCGCCAGCACAGCGGCCTGAAGACGCTGCACCGCAACCTGGAGCTGGAGCACAAGGAGCTGGCGGAGAGGTGCGCCCGTGGGGTGTGGGTGGGGCGGGCGGGCCCACCCCGGAGAGGTCTGCGCCTGCGCGGAGGCGGAGCCGGCGCTGGGGCGCCCCTTTGGTGGGAGGGTGGGGACAAGAGGAGAGGGGCGAGCTGTCAGGAACGGCGGCGGGGCGCAGGGAGACAGGGCCGAGTTGGACAGGCCGCGGGTATCATCGGAGAGTTTGGGGGTCCCTGGCCGCCCCCGCTTCGTGAAGCCCAGCATCGTCGCCTTCCTGTGGCCTGCCCTTCCTCCCACTTTACGCTCCGAACTAGGAGTCTGGTGTGGGGGGAACTCTCAACCAGCAGTGTGAGGCCTGCCTCGGTCTCCCCAGGCCTCGCCTCTCTGACCAGGTTTCTCTCTTTAACCTCTAAATTCCGGGGCTCTGGGGTGTGTACTAAGTGGACAGGCCACAGGGACCACCGTTCTCCATTCCCTATGGACCCCTGACCCATGCAGCGTCCCGCTGTGGGTCAGTTCACACACAGGCGCAGGGACGGGGCTGCACACTAAGGCAGCCCCACATGCAGTACGTGCAGTAGGTACTCAGAATTGTCTGCGGGGAGGATGGTCCCCCCATCGGGCCATCCCCAGCAGTGCTGCCGGTTTGTGAGTGTCTGAGTGTCGGGGCCAGCTCTAAGTTCCTTTCACTTGACACGGCAGTCAGACGGCGCCCTCGCCCCGTCCCATAGCGGGTATGTACTGAGTGCTGGTGGTGTGCCAGGCTGCTGCCCGAAAGGTGTTGTCACTTGAACCCACCACGCTCTGGGAGAGGCGTGGAAGTGGCTTCTGTGACGATGGCCGCCTTGGACACCCACTAGGACCGCCGTGCGCTGTCCTGTAGGGTCACTGGCAGTGGACGTCGACCAGCAGTGGTGAGTTAGATTTTGGTCCCTCCAGTAGGAGCTTGGAGACCGAAGAGAATTGATATACGTTTGAACCGTGGTACTGGTGAAGAATATTGAAATATTGAAAGGCTGCCAAGAACACACAGATCTGTCTTGGATTAAGGACGGCCAGAGTGCTCCTTAGAGGCAAGGAGGGTGGGACTCTGTCTCACGTCCTTTGGACACGCTGTCAGGAGAGACCAGTCCCTGAGAAGGACACGGCGCTTAAAGGAGAGGGGCAACAAAAAGGCCCTTGACGAGATGGGCGGACACCATAGCCGCCGCCATGGGCTCAAGCCGAAGAACCCTCTTGTGAGGACGGCGCAGGGCTGGGCAGGGCTTTTCCATGGCTCTTAAGGGCACTGACAGTTGTAGCCGACTCGGCACCTAGCCACAGCAGCGGCCGGCCGGCAGTTGTAATGAAACCGTGGTTTAAACCCACCAGCTGCCCTGCGGAAGAAACGTGGGGCTGTCCGCCCCTGTGATGGTGCCCGCTTCGGAAACCCGATGACGCAGTTCTGTCCTGTGGGGCCGCCATGAGTCAGCATTGGGTCAGCAGCTGGGGTTCGTACTGCAGACCCTGGGCTGAGCCGTGTCCCGCATACGAGCTTGCAGCTGGGTGGCTCTTGGGGAGCAGGCGTGGACGCCGTGTTTGTCATGCTTAGACTACTGCCCTATCCAGAGTTGTCCCTGGGTGAGAAAAGTCAGCAGGGCCCTCCCAGATTTCCAGTCCCTCTGCCCGAGTCCAAAGGCCACACAGATAGCAGCCTGGTGGGTCTTGGCTCTTGTCCAATGGCTCCAGTCCAGCCCGTGGTGGCAGTGGAGTCAGAGGCTGGGCGAGGTGGGCAGAGGGGTGCTTGTCCCCTGGGGCACCGGTGATGCTCAGAAGGACAGTCGGAGGTGCCACAGTTAAAGAGGTGCCTTCTGGATGGGAGTGGGGGGGCATATCTGCTGTCAAGGCCTGCTTAATCTCCAAGTTGTAAGGCAGGGGAGGGGGGAATCTTATAGATTGCCCGTGGGCACTGGTGACCCTCTGGCCAGGGCATTGATGACTGGGGAGGAGCACTGGGTGGTCCCCGACAGACAGTCTCTGAGTGAAGGGGTCAGGGTGGAGGAGATGCAGAGTATCCACCGAGCCCACCCCGGCATCCCTGGGACTTGCACAGGCACGGGGCCACCCTGGACACAGCAGTGACGACTGGCCAGCAGGGCTGGAAAAGCAGCCTCAGGCTGGTCAGCACTCTGTCCTTCTCCTCCACTGTCCGCCTGAGTTGGCTGTGCTGTAGACTCAGAGATAGCCACCACACCAGCACCGCAGTTGCCGCTGAGTGGGTCCAGCTCACGGCACGCTGTGTGTGTGTGTGTGTGTGTGTGTGTGTGTGTGTGTTGGGAGCAGATTGCCAGGGCTTTCTTCCGAGGCACCTCTGGGTGGACAGAACCACCCACCACCTGGAGATCAGCCGAGACCTTCACTGTTGGCACCACCTGGGACCGGTCACCTTCGAGCCGGTCCCAGCATGCGGGGACCCCGGCCGTGTAAAGTGGAACGGCTCCGCAGGGCTTCTAAGGCTTGACCTTCCAGCAGCGGATCACCAGGCCTTTCTTTGCGGCACCTCTGGGTGGGTTTAGACCTTCACCCTGTTGGTGAAGCACGGCCTAACTTGCCACCCAAGGGGCACAGCTGCTCACCAGAGTTCCTAGTAGGAGGGACCCAGACCTAAGCCCACCCCTGCTGGGTTCTGGACGTGCATGGGTGTGTGAGAGAGGGGTGAGTGCATGCATGTGAGTGAGTGCACACAGGCTGGCCTCAGACAGCTGCTTGGGGCCAGCTGAGCAGGCCTCTGGCCCCTAGAAGACCCCATAAACAAGTAGAATGGGGTCTCCAAGGTGGGGCGCTGCCTCACTGAGGTGGGTGAGAGGTCTGGGTACCAGGACCACTGTGTGTGTCATGGCTTCGTCCGGCCCTGTCGGTGCCAGGTGACCTGGGCAGGAACGTGTTGTGTCTATAGCTCTCTGAGAGGGTCCAGTGGCTGGGTGCTCTCGGGGTCCGTAGAAGGGAGGGGAGGCTCTCGGAGGGGGGCATTTGAGGAAGAGGAGCGTTCTGAGTGCCTGGGCTGCAGACCCCCTGGCTGGGCCCTGCTGCCTGCAGAGCCTCTCCCACTGCCCCCTCGGCCCGTGCGCCCTGCAGGGACTAGCCCGTGTGTGCATCCCCGCCCAGGCACGGCGACATGCTGAAGCACAGAGCGGAGCTGGAGCAGTTGGAGAAGGTGCTGGCGGCAGAGAGGGAGGCACTGCAGCAGGAGCAGGGTCTGCGGGCCGTGGCGGCAGGCGAGAACCAGAGGCTGCGGGGAGAGCTGGACAGGTGAGCGCAGCCGTGGACGGCCTCCGAGGGGAGACAGGAAGAGCCCGGTCGGGCAGAGGTCAGGTGCTCGGCAGCGGATGGAGAGGTGAGAGAGGCAGGTGGGGTGCTCCTGTAACGATGGTGGCCTAGGAAGCCCCGTGGGGGCAGTTGCACCCTGTCCCATGGACCCTGGCACACAGCCGCCACGGTGGAAGAGCAAGGGCGTCCACCCACAATCCTGTGTCTTGGTTGCACGTTGGGGCTGCTAACCGCAAGGTCAGCAGTTCGAAACCACCAGCCACTCGGGTAGAAATGCAGGACTCTGTTCCCGTTGAGAGTTACGGTCTCCGTGATCCACAGGGCCAGTTCAACCCCATCCTAAAGGGTCACTGTGGGTCGGCATGGGCTCCGTGCCACGGGGCAGGGACGAGGTGACAGGTGACTCTAGACTCTAGCTGGCGGCCCAGGTGTAAGGACCAAGCGCAGGTTCTCCCCTCTCTCCTGTGGGGCGGGGGTGGGGTGGTGGTTTCACCAGCACAGGCTCAGGCTCGCCTGTTCTCTGGAAGGCGGGGCCCTGGCCATCCTGCGTGAATGGATGAGAAGTCGAACTGCCTGGGTGGGGGGTGGTCAAGTCCTGGCTCCTAGACAGGGCAGAGCTAGGTTGTGAGGCCAGGCTGAAGTGCCTCTTGGGGGTTAGCAGCTGAGACCCCCCCCCCCCAGGCCAAGCAGGTAGCATGCAGGTGAACGGGTGTCACCAGGGGCAAGAGGGAGAGCCTGGCCCAGCAGGGTTCCAGGAGCGGGAGTTAGATTTGGAGGAAAGCGATTGGAAGAGGAGAAATGTTCAGGTCCCAAGTTCAAAAACAACAACAAATCAGCAAGGAAGCCCTTGCACAAGCAACACCAGAGTGTGGCAGCAGCGGGCTCTGGGGCTGTATCCAGAGCTGCTTGCCAGGAGGACGGGACCCCAGGCACCTCTTGAACCCCACAGAGCCCAGTCAGACACCTGCCGGGTGGTTCACTCTGTCCAGTTACCGATGAAGGACCTCAGGGCCAAGAGAGGTTGAGCTTTTGCTGGATGCCACACAGCAAGCCACCGCAGCGCTGGGCCAGGGCCGAGGCCATGCCCCTGAGCCCCTGGCCCCCGCTCCCCCCGCAGGGTCAGCTTCCTGCACCACCAGCTGAAGGGCGAATATGAGGAGCTGCACGCCCACACCAAGGAGCTGAAGACCTCGCTGAACAGCTCGCAGCTGGAGCTGAACCGCTGGCAGGCCCGCTTCGACGAGCTCCGGGAGCAGCACCAGACCATGGACATCTCGCTGACCAAGCTGGACAACCATTGTGAGGTGAGGCGTGCGGGGACATGCTAGAGGGTGTATGGCGAGGGACGGTGCCGTGGGCACGCTGGGTGCTACATGGGCGCCGCCTGCTCGGTGCATCTGTGCCCTCAGCCACCGTCTGAAAGCTCGGTCACTGTGCTGTTCTGGGCTCTGCCCCACCCGTGAGGTGGCCGACTCGGCTCAGGACCTGAGTTGCCAAGTCAGCCGTGACCCCAGAGCCCCCAGCTGTCCTCTGTTGGGCGGTCCTGCAGCCACGGAGCCGTGTTCTCGAGCAGCTGGGCTTCTTAGATGAAGTCAGGCCAGGTCTCGTTCTCACCTCCGAGACCCCTGCTTTTGACTGCGGACCACCACCTCAAGCAGCTTTGCCCTGAGGGCCTCGTGGAAGCCCCGTGGGGCATCACCAGGGAGGAAGCTTAGGCCTAGGGTGCTGAGTGATTTTTCCAGCAGCCCCCCACTCAGGTGGGGAGTGTGCGTGTTTTGGAGGGTGGGTATGCAGGGCCGAGGCAAAGGTGTCTGTTGGGACTCCCAGAAGGCTCTGCACCCAGCAGGTGGGTACGTCCGGGTGTCTGAGGGGAGGCTATGGGCAAGAGCAGGCATCTGCTATGGTTTCGACACGTAGGGTGGGGGCAGTTTCAGGGGGAAGGATGATGTGAGCAGAAATGGGGGTGGGTGGGATGTGGCAGAGATCACCCGTGATTTAAGCAAACCGGCAAGGGGCCGGGGCAGGACAATGACGCGGAAGACAGCGTCAACCAAACCCCAGGCCGTGAGTACCCAGGAGGGGGCTCAGCTGGAAGGGGAGGGGTGGGGAGGGCCCGTTTCCTCCACTCTCACTCTCTCGGGGCGCCTGTTTGTCCCAGAGGAGACCTGTTTGATGGTGGCACGCCAAGGTCTAATGGGGCAGAAGAGCAGCAGTGCACGCCCGCTAGGCCCGGGGCCTCTCCAGAGGTCTTGCCGGCTCTTTGATGGCAGGCGGGCCTCGCATCCAAGTCCACCAATCGAAACGTGTCTGCTACCCAAACCATAGCACTTAACATCGCTCCTGGAAGCACCGTGTATGCAAAGGTCGCCTGCCGGCCGCTGCTGGTTTCAAACCACTGACTTGGCAGTGAGCGGTTGGCGAAATACAGCCCAGGAGCCAAACCCAGCCCTCAGCCGGCTTTTTGCAGCTCACACCGAGAATGGTTTTGTCTGCCCTGGGGGCTGGGGTCACACCAGCTCTAGTTTGTGGCGGGTGAACATTGCACAAATCCATTTGCTGGTGCCCAGAACTAAAGCTTTCTCAGCAGCCCCTCCCGCCGGCGCATCAACAGGCTCTCTCAGGCTGTCTCTGAGTGACTGCAGCAGGTGGTGTCGCTGTGCAGAGACAGGGCCTTTTATCCTGGGAGGCCAGAAATAGGACACCCTGGCTCGCTCCAGAAAACATGTACGCAGCCTCTTCTCCCCCCCTCTTCCTTTCCCCCACCCCCCACCTTCTAGAGCACACCTGTGCTGTAATGTTTGGAAACCACATAGGTAAGGTCTGGTTTCCTAGTTGCTACATCTCAGACATGGAAAGAGACCGGTGAAATTACTTTGAATGCTTCGTTTAAACAGAGCCCTGGTGGCTTAGTGGTTACACGTCGTGCTGAGATCCAAAGGTCAGCAGTTCTAAACCTCCAGCTGCTCCTTGGGAGAACGATGGGGCTTTCTACTCCCGTAAACAGTGACCGTCTCAGAAACCCACAGGGGCAGTTCCTCTCTGCCCTGCAGGGTTGCTGTGAGTTGGCATCAACTCGGTGGCAGGGAGTTTGGCTTTTTGGTTTGAGGCAGGGCCTACCTCCTCTTTTCTAGAAACGCACATGCCTCCACAGCCTCCTTGGCCATGGGAAGCTCTGGGCTGTGCCCCTAGTCCAGGATAGCGTGTCGGCCTCTGCTCTTGCAGACCATTCCAGCAACAACCCCCATCCCTGGGAAGGAGGCGCCAGTGTTACCTATTTTGGAAACACGGATTTCAACTGTTTCACCTAAAATGCCACGTCGACATGTAATCTGTAAAAGCTCCTCCACAAGACCCGTGACTGTTAGCCCCTCGCCCTTCCGGGCCCCTAACTGGGGTGGGGGCGGGCCACTTGGCTGGACTCCTTAAGCAGCACTGGGTGTTGGGGCGCATCCTGGCAGCCCGAGCTGGCCACACAGTGACAGGGAGCACCCGTGGGCCGCACAGTCCAAACCCTTGTGGTCCAGGGCCGGCTGTAAGTTATACGCTGGTTTCCGACTGTGCGGGAGTCGGCATCACTGATCCCCGTGTTGCATTGCTCAGAGGTCCGGTGCTTCTGCGTGGAGACCAGCGGCGCCGAGAGCGCTCGCTCAGTCACCACACATCACCAGGGCTGCCCCGCCGGGCGGTGGCTCTGCAGAGGGCGCGCTGGCTGGGCTTGTCCTTCCTAGGCCTGGGCGTGGGATTGTGCCGTCCCAGCGCCTCTGTTGGTCTCTCGCAGCTGCTCTCCCGACTCAAGAGGAACCTGGAGGAAGAGAACCACCACCTCCTGAGCCAGATCCAGCTGCTGAGCCAGCAGAACCGGCTGCTCCTGGAGAGGAGCATGGAGAGCAAGGAGCAGTACCACGAGGAGCAGAAGCAGTACATGTGAGGGCCGCGCCCGCTGCGGGGTGGGCGGTCCCGGCCCCCAGCTCTGTGGAGGGAGGGCCCGGCTCCCCTGCCCGTGACTGGGCGAAGAGCAGCCTGATAGACCGTGGCCGTCCCAGGACCGGGGCACAGACCACCTCCCAACCTCCGCTCTCTGGGCTTCCCGGATGGTTCTCCATCTCTGGGACGGGAGCTTGTGTGTGCTTTCCAAAGCCCCCCCCAAAGCTCCTGCAGCAGTGCTGACACAGGTCTCCGAGGGAGGCCGCAGTCCAAGCCAAAGTGTTCGAGTGGGGCTCAGTGCCCCAGGGGGCAGTCTCTGCTGTGTTGCGCTTGCCCTCATTGGGCTGCAGTCTGCACGGTCAGCAGCTGGAACCACCAGCTGCTCCACCAGAGCAAACCCGGGCTTTCTACTCCCGTAAATAGTTGCCGTCCCAGAATCCCAAGAGGCAGGCCTACCTTGTCCTATAGGGTCGTGTGAGTCGACACCAATGGCGTGTGTGTGTGTGTGTGGTGATCCCCTTGTCTTTTAGAATGGTAGGTACCGAAGACAACATATATGTGCATATATTTGCATGTACATGTGAGCGTGTTTGAGGTCAGTGTTTACACAGCACGTCAGATGCCCTGCTCGGCAAGGTGTCCACGTATGGTTCTGTGACATGGGCCAAAGTCCCTGCAGCGGGCCAGCCCTCCGTCCGTCTCCACCTGCCAGACTGAATGTGGCTGGAAAGTTCTTGGGCTCCCAAGCCCGAGTCTTCCGTTGGTTCGATCCCATAGCCCACAATATGGCCAGACCTCGGGCACTCTAGCAAGCACCTCCCCGCCCGGGACCCGTCTCCAGTGCTCCCGGCCACATCTTCCCAGCCCGATGACTCCGAGGGTCAGCGTACCATCCTGTGGGAATCCCGTCCAACTTCGGGCCCACTGGGCCAGCCAGGAAACTCCTGGGGCCGGCCCCTGTGTTTGATTGGCGAGCAGACCGAGGGTTGATTTCTTTGTGTTGTCTCCACTCTGCTCTGCTCCCAGAGACAAACTCAACGCCTTGCGGAGACACAAGGAAAAACTGGAAGAGAAAATCATGGACCAGTACAAATTCTATGATCCGGCCCCAAAGAAGTGAGTGACTTCCCCTTGGGAGTGCCAGCCCTGGCTGGAGAAGCACCTAGGTGGGAGGAGGGTGACCTGGGGTCCCGCAGCAGTGTCCTTGGGGGCCCCCCTGCACCATCCACTGCGCACCAGCGCTTTCTATCTGCAGGCCACTCCAGGCGCCTCGCCGTGACCCCCTCTCAGCGGGTCCAGAGAGAGGTCGCCAGTGCCAGCTGGCCTCGATCCTCGAAGAGGCCCGGCTTAGTTCAGCCACGAACCCCAATGGGGATAGCACCCTGGGGGTCAGGAAGGCAGAGTGGAGGGGCTTCCTGGTCAGATGTTTGTCATGACATAAGGCAACCAGGTGCCTGTTTGGGGAGGGGGTGCGGGGGTGGGATGCATGGGTCAGCACCCTGAATCTTCCAGCACAGGAGCCTGGGGCCCATCCTGAACTCCTCTGGCTTTGCTGGGCCCTGGGACGGCTCCAGCCTCACGTGCTTGTCCCCAGGCAGTGACCAGCCAGTGTCTCTGGGACCGGCTCATTCCCGGCAGACTGCTCTCCAGCAGGGCCTTCCCTTGTCCCAGGCCCTGAACGCAGCCTGCCCTTCAGCCAAGGAGCTCAGCAAACCAGCTGGGGCTCACCTTTGAGGCCACAGAGACATCGGACTTTCCAAAGGCAGTGGGTGGGGCCTCGTGTAAGACTCACTCGAGGCTGTTTTGTTCAGTCGGGATGGCGACCCGGGCGCAGTGCCATGTCCCAGCAGCATGCTCCCTCTTGGCTGGCTGCTGCTCTGCCCAGATCCGCTGGGTCCTGTGACCTAGCTCCTCCCCTGGCCCTGATTCCTCTGGTCAGAGGTGAGCAGCTCTGGAAGCAGCTCCTGACAGCAGGGCATTTGGACAGTCAGCTGGGCTCTGCAGGTGTGGGTCTCCGCCCTGTGCCTGCCTCTGCCTGCAGGCGCCGGGCTGAGGCCACTGCCAACACGCTGGCCGTGGGGAGGGTGCTGGACAGCCAGCTCCCCAGACCGAGCTAGCCCGAGCCCACCAGGGTCCTCCTAACCTGCTCCCCTCACAGGAAAAACCACTGGATTGGAGCCAGAGCCTTAGTCAGACTCATCAAACCAAAGAAGGAGGCGTCACGAGAGCGGCTGAAATCCGGCACAGACGGCCCGGCCTGGCAGCCCGAGACCTCCGACCCGGCCGCGTCGCAGCCTCTCAGGTCGCCGCCGGAGACCCCCGAGATTGCCCCGGTGGGGCCCAGCGGTACCGAAGTGCAAGACGCCCCCAACGGGCCCGTGGGGAGAGGTAGGGGCTGCAGGGGGTTCTCAGAGCTGGTGCTTGCCCAGGAGCACGGTGTGTGTGCACAGACAGGTGGGGGTGCGGTGGTGCACAATGTGGGAGAATGGAGTGTGTGCACACTGATGTGGAGGGTGTGTACGGAGGCATGGAGGGTGGGTGCCTATACATGGACATGAAGGGAATGTATATTCTTGTGTGTGTGTGCGGTATGTGAGGGTAGCTCTGATTACTTGTGTGTACAGCCACATGGAGGCGCTGTGGGGTGTATGTCCGTGTGCATGTGTGGAAACATGGGGAGTTGTTTGTGGGTCTGCACGAGTGGATGTGTGTGTGAACGTTGAATGGTGTGTGCATTTGCATGTGTCTTTAAGGACGTGTGTTGATTTGTGGGTGAACGTGGGTGGGTATGTGTAGTTGCATGGTGTGTGGGAATGGAGAGGGGTGTGTGTGCACACAGGGTATGTCTATGTGGGAACAGGGGTGCGTGTATGAGAAGGTGGAGGGTTTGTGTAGACACATATGGGACTTGTGTGTGAGGATGTGTGTATGAGGGGAATATGGGGGGTGTATGAAAAGGCATGTGTATTTTTAGGTGTGTGTTCACTAAAGGCATGTGTATTTCCGTGCATGTGAACAGAGTGGGCATGTATGTGGGAACATGGGTGCTGCGTGTTCCTATGAACCTGGAGGCCATGCATGTTGGCCTCCGACTTTGGTAAGCATGCTACTGACCAGCAGCGAGTAGAGGTTGGGCCTGTGGCGCTTTGGCCCGGGGATGGTTTGGCTAGTTTCACAGGAAGTATCGCTCACCGTGTGGACGGGTAGGTACGTAAAATCCCGAGTGGCGACCTCGCGGCACCGTGGCGGCCAGGCCGAGACTCCGTATTCCCTCCTTGTGATCCCCGGTCACTAGGTGCCTGGTGGTCCAAAGGTCTTCCTTCCGGAAGACCTTGTGCGGTTCTGCCATGGTGTCTTATGCTTTGAAAGTCGGCATGGGTCTTCTCCCCGGCCTGGGCTGCCTGCTGTGCCACCAGCCCGGACAGTTGGCCTTTCACGGCGGTCTCTCCTTCGGGGCTTCCCAGAGGCTCTGAGACATGGAGTTCCTTTGTGTTGCACTCTTTCATCCAAGTACCACAGGACAGTTTGGATCTCCAGAGAGGAGACTCCAATCGTCAGACAAGGCTTCCTCGGGGAGGATCTTTCCAGGTCGGTCCTCCCGCTGAAGGAGGCAGGTTTCTGTGCCTGCTCACGAGAGGGCAGAGGAGCACGCGCACCGGCGGGCGGTTTGCCACGGTGCCACCCGGACCGGTGTGAGCACCAGTGACTGTGAAAGGTGTCCTAACCCCAGAGGCGTTGAGGGTGGGGGCCGGGTGTGCTGGGGCACTGCTCAGACACAGCTGCTCCCCTAAACGCTGTCTGACTTCCAGCTTTTGTCTGAAAGACCCGTTCCCGATGCTGTGTCAAGCCTGCGTCGTGCCTCGTGGTGGGCCCCGTTTGGGGGAAGGCCACCAGGACTTTGAGAAACGCAGGCCTGCCCTTCCGACCCTTGGGCTCTGTCCAGCTCCCCAGGACAGCGCCAGGCCGTCTTCTGAGTAGGATGTGCCGAGCCTTTGTGGGGTCATAGTCACTCCCCAAGTAGCTGCTATGCCATTTTCAAATGCAAATGGGGAACGTTCACATACACATATGGTGTCTGGGGGCCAATGCCCGTACCCCGTTTTTCGCTGGGGGAAAGGCTAGGTAGAGGCTCCCGCGGCGTGGTGGTTGCCTCTCTGCCGGGGCTCCGGTCGCCTCGGGTTTTCATCTGAGCTGCTGTGTGATGTTCTGATAACCATCATCTCAACTTTCTTGAAAAGTTGAACCTAAAAGCTCCGTTCTGGCAGGAAGATTCCGACTCACAGCAGCCCTGTGGACTTCCAGAACCCTGGCCTTTCCGTTTGCTGGGCTGCTGGCAGGTGGACCCTGCCTGTAACAATCAACCTCGTCGTCCTGTTGGGAAAACCTCTGTGGGGGGGGGGAAACCGACCCGCAGTGGAACTGCCCCTCGAGTGAGCAGACAAATACACAGCCTCCCTGCTGTCACGTGGATGTTGGTGCCGAGCCACGCGTAGGCCAGCAGCACGGGGGAGGCGGGGTGGGGTGGGGGCATCTCTGAGGCTGTAACTCTTTCGAAAGCCGAGCCTCCTTCCCTGGAGTGAAGCAGGTCTGTGACAGTTGGTGATAGCTGTGACCACTCGTGGGTGGACAGCCCTGAGCGATTTCCAGGCTCCTCCTGTCTGCATGTGGGGATCGGTCGTGAGCCCCTTCACCGGTCAGAGCGCAGTTCCCGAAGGTGGAACCCTTGCCGCAAAGATCATGGTGGCGTTGGGGTCCTTGAGGAAGCAAGCATGCCACTGGACCTGGCCCGGGCCTGCCCCTGGGACTCTGGCACTGAAGAGAGTGGCCCCTGGCTGTAGGGTGAAGCAGCCCTGCTGGCAGTGCAACAGCTAAGGAGCCACACGGTCTGCTATGCTCAGCCAGCCAGCGGCTCTCCTGTGCTCTGCTCCCCGAGATTACGACCTGGGGAAGTTTCCGGGCAGTGCAGCCCGCCACATGGGGGCGGGATGGGCTGGGATGGACAGCAGCCCCATTGGCTCAGGCACTGGCTGCCGGCCACGAGGCCGGAGCTTCAAGCTCACCAGCCGTGCCAAGGGAGAAGGATGGGCAGTTGGCTTCCAGAAACCCCAGGGGCAGTTCTCTGACTCCAGCTGTCCTGGACTCAAAAACAGTGGGTTTTAAGCAGCTCTTCAGGAGAAAGACGAGGCTCTCAGCTCTCATAAGGAGTTCTGGTCTGGGAAAGGCCCAAGGGCAGTTCTGCCCTGTCCTGGAGGGTCACCCTGGCTGTGTTTGTGTGAGCAGGGACAGGGTGGGACCCTGGCCACCAGGTGGTGCTGCGGGAGAAGAAAGGACGGGTGTGGGCGGCGGCATCCTCACTGCGCCTGTCATTCACTGGATTCTGTTTTTTCTCTCCTCTCTCGGCTTATCCGGGTGATTACACTCTAGCATCTCCACGCAAAAAGAGCCCCTTTTTGAGAAGCAAAAGCAAAGACAAAGACAAGCCTGCAGTCAGCCACCCGGCCCTCTCTAAACGCCTGCGCTTCTGGTCCTCCTCCGACAGCCCCCCCTCCCCGCACGAGCCTGTCTGTTTCTCAGCCATTGGAGATTTCTGACCCTTGCCTGTGTCCTGTGCCCTCCATCCTCTGTCCCCCTCCATCTCTGAACTTCATCAACAAAACAGTACCTAAAGGCCGCCTGACTGACCACCTGTCTGGGTCCTCACCCCCGCCCCCACTCCTGGCCGAGCCCAGAGTAGCCCACGTGGATTCCGAGTCCCCAGTGGAAGACCAGTTGCCAGCCCCTCTGGAGCGTCCTTCGGCATTGCTCAATCTTAGGGGCGCTTCGGCACACGCGTGCCCACGCGCGGGCCCCCCTGGGGCCAGGATGCCGTACGCAGTAAGTCTCGCGGCCGCGCACCTCCATGTGCTTGCATCTCGAGTGGCCCGGCCAGCTGTTGTCTCCTGTGCGTCCAGGCCTTTGTGCTTCGGCCGGGGGCGGTCGTCCCGTGGCTGCCACTTGCGCCTCTGTCCCCGTTAGAGCACTGAACTGTTGGCTTCTGCTCACCAGGCCCCGCGTGGCCGTGGTCTGTGTTGGGGAGACCCATCGCCTAGCTCGAGACCTTGAAAAATCCGACGAGTGGGGGCTGGAGCTGGTGCTGTGCCAGGGGCAGTCGCACTGGAGTGTCTCGGCGGTGCCGGCATCGTCTGAAACCTGGGGGCTGAGAGGGACGCCGTAGTGGACAGACGGACGTCCCTGCCGGCATCACTGGTCAGCAGAGGCCTTTAGCTACTGCCTCTCCAGCCTTTCTGGTCCATCTGCATGGTCCTTGCCACGTCCCTGTGCCACGTGTCTGATCGCACACACCCCTCCTTGAAACCATGCTGTCTTCCCGGGCCTTCGTCACCACCAGCACTGCCCCAGGCAGGGGCCTCCTAGGGGTGGGGTGTGTGCAGATGGCTGCTGACCTAAAAGGTTGGTGGGTTGAGGCCACCCCGAGGTGCTTCGGAAGAAAGGCCCGGTGATATCGTTCTGGAAGGCCGGCCCCTGCACAGCCCCTGGGCACAGTTCTACCCTGACACACATGGGCTGACCTCGAGGGCATCTGGCACTGGTAGTTGGTGGGAACCCACGGCACCCTGAAAACAAGGTAACTGTGGGCCAGCCCAGGAGCCCCGCCCCCTCTGGGCGGCCATGAGCCGGGCCCTCCGTCCTCCGTGTCCTGAGTCTGCTGTCTGTTCTCGTGCCTCGTGCTTCCCTGCCGTGTGTGCCAACTGTCCATGCATCGCCCTTCCACCCCCACCCTGCCTGCTGAGTCCTTGTGGGGCTTTCTGCCCGCGTTAGATTTGGACCTTGCTTCTCACCGGGGTTATGTACCGCAGGGCAAGATGCGGGCGCTTCAGATTGTGCCCCGAGCCCACACTGCAGGCTCCGTCCATGGGAGGGCGGGACCGCAGGCCAGGGTGGCCACATTGGGTCTTGGGCCCTGGGGTGCCCGGGACAGGACATTCTGCAAAACCCATGGGAGCTTGGTCCTCCTCGTCTTGTGACGGGAGACCCTGCACCCTCTCCCTCCGGGTAACGGGCATGGTGGCTTGTGCTCTGAAACCATCCAGTTTCACTCCGGCCAGAGCACGTGCCCACGGTAGGAAATCCAGACAATGCCGGGAGTACATGGTACGGACCTGCCTGCAGTCAGTTTTACCAGCGAGAGATTTTGTCCCATGCTTTCTAAGGAAAACACCGTTAGGTTGGCGATAAGCTTCTTTTTGAAATCGTAAGGGGAGCCAGCCGGCAGGACGCACATCCTGGGCCTCTGTAGCTGCCGGCCCCTCTTCCTTTTTAGATTTTACTGTTGGTGGTGATTGCACCACGACCGCACAGACACCGAGAGAGCCTTTTCCACGCACGTGTTGTGTGGCGTTGGCTACGTGCCACGCTCACCCTCCTGACTGTTCCTGCCCCAGGAGCACCAGCTGGTGCCCTCTGAGGTGCTTGTTAGACCTTTCTAGTTGCCGCTGTCCATGGGATTCCCTGGAGATCGGCCCCAGAGCTCGGCGCTCAGGCAGCCATTCCCTTTTAGCTAAGACAAACTCCTGCAAAGACCTCGGGGGCTGTGGTTTTCCCTTTGAGGTTTCAGGATGACCTCTGGGCTGTAGCTTCAGAGGTTTCCCCAGCCTCTGGCGCCAGAAAGGCTAGCGTCCAGGAGAAACGTGACATTCTGTTCTGCCCTTCCTATTGCTTGTGGTCAGGGCTCTAGTGTGTAATCGCTGATCGAAATGCTCAGTCACAGGGTTGGAGCATCTGTGTGGCTCGTGTTTGGGGCTTCCTGGAGGCCACCCCACCCTCCAGCCCCTTAGTTTTCTCTTAGCCTTTCATGGCTACAGTGTGAGCCGATTGTCAATCCCGCAGTCGGCCTCTGGGCCTCTCCCGGCCAGGTCCCCTCCCGTCCCAGCTGCCGCCCAGCTTCTGTCCTTTGATGTGTGCGCCCTTCTGCCCCACGTCCAGGCTGTGGATGGCGGCCCAGCTGGGGACCAGGGTCTCGTGGCTTCATTTCTCCACGCTCGTTTCTCACCCAGGCCCGGGGGACCCTAAAGCAAAGCGAGGGTCCCCCCACGGAGGCAGCCTGGACCGCCCAGACGCGACCTCCGACCCCGCTGTGAAGTCCTGCTCCTGGGAGCTGAATGCTCGCACCTCTGCAGCCGTCCCTTCCAGCTCCACGCCCATCGCCCGGCACCCAAACCGAACCGAGAGTAAGTCCCGGACCCCTCCTAGAGCCTAGGAGGTGAGCCCTGCAGCTGGGGCCCTTCCTAAAGACCTAGGCTGTCAGAGGCAGGAGAGGCTGCTTTCCCTCCAACATGGGCAGTAAGCGCAGAGTGGGGAGGTGCCGGACAGGCTCGGACATCGAATGGACTTGGGTTCCAGACTCAGCCCTGCCAGAGAACGTCAGCAGACAGCCACGGGCCCTCCGCTCCCCAGGGCCGCCTCCAACACTGGCTGGGCCCCAGGCCCATGTCACGACAGAAGCGCAGTGGAAACTTGGGGCTGACCTGGGGGGGCAGGGGGTTGGCAGACCCTACCCACAGCCCCCTCCTGAGCCCAGGTACCCGGCACGGGACTCCCGGTGGCCGTTCCTCACCAGGCCTCTTCCCTGCAGGCTTTCACTCCAACGACGCCCTGTGTGAGCCGTCCCTGGAGCTGGACCTCGCCGCCCACCGGCAGTGCGGTGAGAGGTTGCACGCGGGGCCTTGCGCCTAGGGCAAGAGCGTAATTCATACCCCACCCCCACCTCCGACAGAGGCCCTTCACACCGAGACCCATGCGGAAGTCCAGCGTCTGAAGGGATCCAAGTGGGCGGGTGGGGTAATAGCGTGGTTGAATACGGTACACTGGCGGTTGAAGTGGGACCGGGCAAGGTCCCCAAGCCCTCTGATCTCCTCCTGCTTACGCACCCCTGAAACCAAAACTCAACCCAGCCAGCTCCAAGTCTCAGTGCCGGGGAGAACTTCTCCCCGGGGCTCCCAGGGCCGTGATGCTGACGGAAACCTGCTGCCTCCGAGCCACGGGTGGGTTAGCAGCCGAGCACTTCACCATTGTGCCACCAGGGGCGCCATCTCACACAACCCCCCTTGCCACTGCGTCACCCCCCACCCAGCTCCGACTCGCCCCCCAGGGTCTGCCTGTGCTGGTGGCCTGCGCTGGGAGGTGGTCTCTGGAAGGCAGGCTCCTCGTGGGCCTCACGTTGTCTCAGCTGCACAGGGCTGCTCCAGTGCAGAAATTCCAGGCTTACCTCGAAGTTATACCTGCCCTCTCAGAAGTGAAGAGCTGCTCTCTATTCTCACGGTTTTGAAATTTAAAAACCCTTTAAGAACGGGAAAACAGCTTGTTTTTAAAAAAGGAAGGAAAACCCAGAATGTTGACTGTTTTTGTTTGTTTGCTTGTTTGCTTTGTCTCCCTACAACATTCTCATTTAAGTAAGATCTGTCTGCACATAAGCCCGTAGCAGGCTAATGCTGCAGGAAGTCGTGGGGCTGACAAGAAAACGACAACTCAAAACCCACCGTAGAGCAGTCACGCGATTTGAGTGAAAAATACCATCTGTGGGTCCCGTGTACTTTTGCAGTGGGTAACACTAAATGTAGGGACGAGTGCGATTGCTGACCCCAGCGGCCGCCTGTAAGTGGCAGTGCCCTTCCTGCAGGGCGAGGCAGAGACTCCCCGCCTTTGTGAGTCAAACCAGGCTCTGAACAGAAACAGCGACCCAGGAGCCCTTGCACCTTTGCACCGAAGGGAGGGTACGGAGCAGAGGGCTTCTTTGAACCGCCAACCTGTTGGTTTCTCGCCCAGTGCTTAACCATATGTACCACCACAGCCTGGACTTGCTGAGCCTTCAAACCTAACAGAAGGCAGTAACAGGGTAGGGCTAGTGGTTAGGCTGTCGATAGCCACCTTTATGCTCATCCGGGGCTCAGCGGAGGAACCGGGGTTCCTTAAATGAGGAGTCATCCTCGTAGGCATAGATGGGGAACATCACAATGTTTGTGGGGAACTGGACTGGACAGGTAATGGGATTTCCCACGAACTTCTTGAAGCCCCTCCTGGAGACCACCCCATCGGGGCACTTGCCTTGACTGTGCGCGTGCTGGCTGCGTTGCATGATTTTCCCGATTCGGTGGGTTTGAGCTGGGGCCGGTCTGTCACCGGCCCTTCACTGAGTTGAACCCTGTCGCCTCCTGCAGCGTCCCGGCCAGGCAGCTTAGAGAGCAGCAGGAACACATCCAGCACCAGCTCGCCTCTGAGCCTGAAAGGTAAGTCCCTCCCGCCCGAAGCCGGCTGGCGTCTCCCCACCGTGTCTCCCCCACTGTGTCTCCCCACCGTGTCTCCCCCAGGGCTCTCGGGAAGAGACTTCATTTGAGTTCCCAGCCGTGATCTCCTCGAGTAGCCCGTTGTCCCTCTTCTCTTCCCCGGGCCCGCGCCGTGTTAGGCAGTGTGACGTTGCCCTTCGCTCTGGAAGGGAAGGTGCTTGGTTCCGTGGCTGTCTCTCTCCTTCCTTTTCCTGATGTGGGCACGCTCGTGGACCGTGTTCAAGTTCACTGCTGTGTTTTCTCCCCGTGGACATGCCGGCTCCTCATCGCCGTGGCTCCGTGCCGGTTACCTCTGCGCCTGTCGCCTCCCTGTGGGTTGGTCGGGAGCCCTGGGGGGGTGGGGGGACAGCTCTGTCTGCTCTGGACGGCCGCTGTGAGTCCGCATGGGCGTGATGGCCTTGGGTTCGGTCTTTGCTTTTGGAGGTTCATTGTTCATGCCTGTCGTCTGCCTCATCTCTGTAGCCTCTGACCTGTGACACAGGTAGGAAGATGTTTTCTGTGGTGAGGCCAAGGCCTGGTTGGCTCCGGAGTCTGGTCCTCTTTCCACCCTTGCTCGACAGTGCAGCTGTGGCGCTGCTCCTCTTGCCGTCCTGTGAGTCTCGGTGAGAACCAGACACGGGCTCTGAGGCCGTCGGGGACAGAGTAGAGGCGCATACGCCGGCAGGTGGCCCGCTCCTTCGCCTTTGCCGTGCCCGTGGAGTCCTTCGGCTGGCACTGACCTCGGTGTGGGTTCTGTTTTGGCTGGGGCCCCCTCAGTGCGCGGCCGGTTGCCAGCTCCGCCAGGGTCATCCTTGGTTCAGGAGACAGCCGGGTCTCCTCCTCCTCCTCTCCCATTGCAGCCAGGCTCCGCCCTGTATGTTTGGCCCGTGCTGTGTGGGAGAGGGATTCCAACGTACCCCACAGTGTCGCTGCTGCTAGCAGATGTCCAGCTGGCCCCCAACTCGTGGTGACCCACAGTCAGTTGCAGAGTGGCCCATTGGCTGACTTTGGAAGCCCGTCCCCGGCCTGCCGTGCTAGTCGGCGTTAGGAGACTGCTGAGACCCGCTGCCCACACTGGCAGATGGGAGGTGACGGCAGCAGGAGCCGCAGTGACAGAATCAACCCCGAGCCGCCCGCACGGAAGGTGGGGGTCCTCTCCCGGGGGAGACCCTTCGTGAGGGGGACCCAGGCTGTTCCTGCCCCAGGGGTAGAGGGGGCATTCTCTCCCCCTTCTCCCAGCACAGGTGTCTCCCTGGGGCACAGGAGCTGGTGGAGTGTGTTGCCTCTGTTTCCCCAGGGTCTTTAGCCTTTTGTCCGGGGGTGGGTGTGGGGAGGAGCCCAGAGAGGTCCTTGAGCAAACCCCACAGGGGGCCTGTCCTCTCTGCCAGGCCTGTGGGGGGACCACCGTGGGGACTTTCTCCTGCCTCCTGGGGAGAGAACCTGCCCGCCGCTGCTCCCTGCTTCTGTCTTCAGCCTTCAGCGGCCAGTGGTTCAAAAGGATGGTTGAGCTTGTGCTCAACAGCCTGCATGGTTCCCAGCACTTCATCTGCCCCTGGGAGCCAGTCCCGGTGCCCTGGGAGCCTGGGAGGGGTCGTCTGTGCTCGGATTCCAGGCTGTGACCTGTGACCTCAGCTCTCCCCCAGGCTTGGGAGAGTTATCGAGGAACAACCTCTCCTGCTTGTTTCCGTCAGCGACTGACCGGCCCTGCCCTGTGTATCACAGGTGGGCCGCACCCAGTCGGAATCGGGTACCTGGCAGTGCGGTTGGTTTTTGAGTTGGTTCCCCAGCAGGGGGGCAGGCAGACGCCGCCCCACCGCCCGACGTGTCCTGTCTCTGTCCTTGCTTCTGGTCTCCCTGCCGCACCTCGGGGCAAAGGGGAGGCTGCCTGTCCTGTGGGAATTTCCAGCCCCTGTCCTGGAGGCTCTCCACAGTCGGACTGGACTCAGGCAGTCGATGTGGTTTCTGTCCCTTCCCCTTTTTCTTTGGTTGGGTCTTGCCACGTACAGACCCTCTCCCTCAAGATTGTAGACTCCGTGGCGGCAGGACTGTCCCCTTTGCGTCCACTTGGCCGGCTCCTGGAACGGCCCTTCGCCTGCCCAAGGCCCTACCCACTGCCATCCTGTCGGCTCCCGCTCATAGTTGACACTCCCCGCCCCCCAGCGTGGGTGCTAAGAAACTGCTCGTACTAAAGCAGTGGCTCTCAACCTTCCTAACGCCGCGACCCCGTAATACAGCTCCTCACAGTGGTGGTGACCCCCAACCATACAAGTATTTTCACTGCTATTTCCTGTCATTTTGCTACTGTTATGAATCAGGTGACCCCTGTGAAAGGGGTTGAGACCCACAGGTTGAGAACTGCCGCTCTAATGAGTGAGTGCCGCCCTGCCCGCAGCGACACCCAGGTGGCGGTTAGGTGTGGGGACTGGGTTGCCACCTCATCAGAACACTGCCCAGTCGTCCCTGTGCTGCCTGCGCAGTGGCGGGACCATGCCATCGTGGGACTTTTGCTTTGAACCGTCACAGTAGAAGTCTGAAGGGCTCCCACAGGCTTCCTAGCATGCAGAGTCCCAGCCCAGAGGGTCCTGTCCGGGGCCACCCATGGATCTGGGTGGGCCAGAGCACCTGGGCTCCAGGGAGTTGGGGAGACTGATGGGAGCTGTTGTGTGTCC